AGGAAAGCCGAAAGTGATCCATTTCAACCGATTGGCCCCTTACGCTGGAAACAATGCTCAAATAGACGATGCTAGAGTAAGGAGAGTTAACCCGCCGGAAGACGACTTGCCTTTTGAAGACTTCATGTATTTATATTCGAGCGGTAAAAAAGCTCGGTATGGTGTCACTCGAGAAGAGCAAAAAGATCTGTTCACGGTTTCGGCCGATTACTCCCTGGCTCACTGTGTTGCGGAAGACCTTAGGATGTCCAGGGGAATAGCGGTTGTCTTTAAAAACAAGTTTGGACGGGTCGACGAGCTACGAAGGCAGAGTCCCAAAGTTGGAGAGGTGCTTGAAATGGTGGATAATGAGCAGATAGGTAACCGAAGTATCTTCTATCTGGTAACGAAGCAACTCTCCAATCAGAAGCCAAATTACCGTGACGTATGGAATGCCTTAAATAAATTGAGGGATATCCTTTTGTCCAAGGACATCATGAACCTGGCGATACCGAAGATTGCTTGTGGACTTGACGGCTTAGACTGGAGAATAATTAGAAGTATGGTGGAAGTTATCTTCAGATTTAGTGGCATACACATTCTTGTCTGTTGCCACAACCCTAAAAGAACAACCGGAAGGAAGACCGTAGACTGCTACTTCTATAGGACGTCACAATGCAAGTTTGGATCTCTATGCAAATATCGCCATGGAGCTGAGGACCATTTTCGGGACGAAAATGTTTTAAGACGGGGGCAATGTAGCGAGTACCGCTCTGGATATCGGAGTGATGACTCATCGCCGGTTAGTCATCGCCGATGAGTCATCGCCGGTGACTCAGGGCTCGAACAATCGAGAGTGTGGAGCTCGCTGGAATGTTCCAGAAGACCTTGGCGCTGAATATATAAGAAACGGAGCAGCACACGGCAGTCAGTGAAGATTTGGTACTCGCGGCGAAATAAATAAATATAAGTGCAAATAAATAGACTCTTGAACAATAGTGATATATAAATAATTAGTAGTTAAGTGTTTAGTTAGTTTTATAGTGTTTTAAGTGTAGTTAAGTTATTAAATAAATAGTTTAGTTCGTTAATTAACCAGTGCGTGTTTTAATTCACACTACGAACAGTAAAAAACGTTACAATATTCTATCTATTTATACAGTTATATATATGTATATATACACATTGTTTTACACCTGTTATAACCCACAATGGGTTCTTTAGGTTTACGTACATCAATAAAAAAAAAATTGTGACAAACTTTTCACTTGAGCGGAATATGCCGTTACATAATATACTATTTTCTGCTTAGCTTAATTGTTGGCCTCTTCTATGCGTCGGCATTTATACTTTTTCCTACGTCGTTGCTAAGAAAATAAATATTTTTTATTTGCAACGCACAACTCGAATAAAAAGTGACGTTTCTGTGTAAAAAAAATGACCGGACTGTGTAAAAAGAAAGTCAGATTAATTAAAAGTGAGGTTAAAACCGGTTGAAAGTTGTTAAATGGCAGATAAAGTTTTAAATAAAACTGGCTTTAAATTAAAAAAAACATTAATTTATGTTCGTCCTAGAAAAAGTTGTGTTTCACTTGTGAGAAAAACATTTGCGTAACATGTACAAAGCTGTACAATTTACCCGGTTAAGCCGGCTAAAAAAGTTAGCTAAGTTAATTAGCTAGCTAACTAATCAGCTTAGCTAATTTAACCGGTTAACTGAATTAGCTTAGCTAATTAGCTGGCTAGCTAACGGCCAAACGGCTAATTAGCTGAGCTAAGCTAGATTAACCGGTTAAGCCACCAGCTAATTAGCTAAGCTAATTTAATTAACCGGATAAATAAGCTAAACTGGTCAGTTAGCTAGCTAATTAACCTAGCTAACTTTTTCAGCCGGTTAACCGGCTTAATTTTACAGCCCTAGTGTCTAGAGTTACGTTTAAAAAAATATGGGTCCGGTCCGGTTTTCTGTCCAAAAACGGTCCGGTCCGGGTCGCATTTTTCCGTCTCCTATAGGGCTAGCGCAACCGAGTGCGCTAATCGTGTAGGATACGGAAGCGAGACCTGTATCTCCGTTCCCTAAGTGGTTAACGCACCGCCTGTAATTAGGTATTATCACTAGAGGTTAAATGTAGCAAAGTATTCCTCAAGGTTATGACGATTAGCTGTCATTTTGGTTATGCAGGTACACTGCATTGTGCCATACCAAACTAACCAAAACTTAACAACCCAACCCAACCGACCCCGCCCCATTGGGCCCCTCCCGCCCCATTGAGCAATAGAGGTATAATATATCTTTTTTTAGAAGGAAAAGGTGGCCTTGTACATGATTTTATTATATATCAAGGAACAACAACAGAAATTAATAAAGAAATGCTAAACAAAATAGGTTTAGGTGCCACAGTTGTCTTACATTTATTAAAAAATATCCCCCAATTTTATTATCTTTTCTTAAAAAACTAGGTATTTAACGACTTTTAACTTATTAGACGTCTTACGACAAAGACATATTCATGCAGCTGGAACTGTAAGAGTAAATAGATTTTGTAATCCACTTTCGATAAAGATGAAAAGAAAAAAGACAAGGGGATATAGTAAAGAAGTAATAAATAAAAAAAGTTCCATTGTATTATGCAAATGGGTAGATAATCGGACTGTGATATTAGTATCTAAACTGTTGGAATTGGTGAAGAAAATAAAGTTGAAAGATAAGAGGTGCTTTCCTTTTGCCACGATTCTTAGATATTCTTACCTCACCTTGGTTTATCTCACTTTAGAGACCGTTCCATTTGCAAAATGACAGGTAAGCCAAAGTGAGAATTTTACCTCCCCCCTTACCGATTAAGCACAACCTCCGGAGCACACTTACAAATGAGAAATTTTGATTACTTGGTGGAGGGGATAGATGCACGCTAAAAAGTGAGGTTGTACACTTTCTATCAAACAAAACAGAAGAAAATTAAAACAATATTAGTGATTGATGGGCATAATCGGATTATATCAATAACCGATTATATCCGATACGATTATTTCAATAATCGGATGATAATTCGATTAAATAATCGGCGATTATAAATCGCATACTTTCATTCGGATTTCAATATCGGAATAATTTAATCGAATTGATAATTCGAATGAAAGTATGCGATTAATAATCGCCGTTTATTTTCGAATTAAGTAATCCGCGATTATTAATCGCATATTTTCATTCGGATTTCAAATTGAATGATTCATTCGGCGACTAGAATACCTACAATTGTAGGTATGACTATTTAAATAGTAATTTACGATTACGATGAAACGATACGATTAAACTAGTATTTTCAGAATCGCTGCTGAATATTACATTCACTACATTCTATAAAATTAAAGAATAAAAAAAAGGTATTTATTATAATAATAATTATTGTTTAAATTGGATTTATATTTTTAACTACCTGTATTATTTGATTCGACATTTTGTTCGTTAAGTCTTTAATCTTTGCGTTAAACCGTTGAGGGAAATGGTTAAACCACAGAACATAAAGCCTGAATTATAGATTGCCTTCCTCCCGTAGAAGATGAACATTACGTAATTGTCACCATTAACATTTCCCGTTTAGGTATTTTTAATACTTTGTGATAAAATTTTGCAATTATAGTAATAAAAAAAATCAAAGAATAAAATATTTTCTGAACAAAATCATATTTTTAAGTAATTTTAATATTTTAAATTATCAATAATTGTTAAGTTTAATTAAAATTAATAACGGGCCATGTTAATGGTGACAATTACGTCAAAAATGTTTATTTAAATCGTATTGCCAGTTATAGATTCCCGTACCGTACGGGCACGACTACGGGAGGAAGGAAGGAAGGCAATCTATAATTCAGGCTTAAGGGTTAAACTGTCAAGTGTCACTTTTAGAGAAAATAGGCTTACCAACCGTTCCTTTGGTCTATTTTAGGTAAGATGAGTGCGCGTAAGTGGCCTCGCTTATCTCACTTTTGCTTGGCTCACTTCAAAAATGAAAGGAAAGCACCTAAGATAAGGATGAAAAAAATACAAAGAAGTAAAGAGGACAGAGGTAATTTATATACTATATACCTAACCTATGCATGGGAGATAGTGGGACATTACAGAGTTTTAATAAAATAAAAAAAGTGGACATTTAGAATGATACCTACCTAATCCACGCAGTAGATATTGCCTGCACCAATAGTTGGTTGGAATACAAGAAAGGTGCAGAACTAAAGAGAATTCCTAGAAAACATAATGGATTCATTTCACTTCAAAATGAGAGTTGCTAAAAGCCCTATAAAAGTGGGAAAGTCGTTGTTACAAACAAAGTAAGGCGACCTAGCCGCAACAGTCCTACATCAAAAAGATAATATATTGTGGATGTCGGACCCTTAAAAGAAGTTAAGCTAGATTTGGTGGACCATTTACCTGAATTCGACCATAAAAAAGAGGCTACCCGTTGCAAAAATACGAAATGCACTGGCAAAACTTTTTTGTAAAAAATGTCATGTATATTTATGTCTAGTCAAGAACCGAAACTCTTTTAAATTGTTTCATAAAAAAACAATAAGATAGTCTGAACAATTTTTTTTTTGTTTAAAAAATTTTAAAAAATATTATTTTTGCCAATAATGCATAAAAAAAACAAAATTTTTTTGTCATACTAAAAAGTCAGGTCTGAAAGGTTTAATGAGTTATTCTATAGCGAACGAACCATTGTTTAATTTGCTTGAGTACTGAATGTTATAAAATAATAGTAAAATCTCCCACCAGCAATCTTCTATCGCCCCAATTGATAATAGGAGATAATTTTAAATTTTAGTTCTTTGCGTCGCTGAATTAAAAAAATAATTCGATTTTTCTCAAAATCACAAGCAGATGTACAGTAAACTGCAGAATTTTTTTACGATTATTATAATATTAAAAATTCGTTTTTTACGTAGTACGTAAAACATAATAAAATCAAACGTCATTTACCTTTCTAAGAAATTAAATGTTCTTAAAAATAATTTAAAATATTTACCTTTATATAAGCCTAACAATCCCAACTCTTTGACCACTGGCCAGGCTCTAACTTTTTCTCCGCCAGCTATTTCTCCAGCTACTTGCAAACGAATTTTGACTATTTCCAAAGGATTTGTAAAAATTACTTGTGAACCACCAGCCTAGAGTCATCAAATTAAAAATAAATCAAATTAGCGCTTTTAAAACTTACGCAAGCTCCTGAAATAATTTCTCCATATAGCGCTATATTTCCGTTTTTGTCATAAAATTTGTCTCTTACAAAATCGTTCACCTAAGAAAAATTTATAAACGATAGGTAAAACATTCATAAGTGATTAAAAATCTTACAGTAAGTTTTATAGCTTTTTCTGGAGCTACACCCATTAACTGAGGAACCAGACCACGATACAACCCGAAAACACCTTCGTGTCTAATGACTTTTCTAAAACAATCCATACTGTTTCTATACATGACTTCTCCAATAAATGACCCCGTCCTTTGATTTTGCATTCGAGTTTTGACCAAGTCGATCGGATATACGGCGGTGGCACCAACAGCTGCAAAAAAAATTTCATTTTTCAAAATCAATATTTGGCGCATTTAAAGATGTTATTACCTCCCGCAATAGCACCCAAGGAGAAACGGTAAGAACTCTCCAAAATTTGAATAAAAACACCTCTATCTTCAGGGCTCTAAAAAGTTGAAAGTATATTAGATAGTCTTTGAGGTCAGCTAAATAAAATAAAAGAGTTACTAAATGACGTGGGTATACCATTTTATTTTTCCTCAAATTTTAAATGAGCTTAAGATTCCAATTCTGGAAAAAGTGTTATTTACTATGTAAAAATGTGATTTTTTAAATAATCTAGTGATTTTACGTGGTGGACTCACCGATACAGCATGTATTTCTGCCAGTCTATTGGTTATTTGTTTGAAATACTGTTCAGGGGCAATAGCATACAAATCATTGTAGACTATTTTTCTACAAAAAATATTATTAGTTTTTCTGAATATCTCAAATTTGTAAAGATTCACAAACCCACTCCATGAGCCATTAAATTCCTTAGTTATAAAACTTTAAATTTGGCAGCAAAAAAAAAGATAAGTTAAACGTTTAGAACGTTTGTTTAAATTTGTAATAAATTTGAATGATGTATGGCACATAGAAATGATACGTCAAATTTGATTTGTGAAAATGACCAACACAAGAAAATAAAATAAATACATACCCTGTTTGATGATGTAAAACATCGCACAATTGGAAAAGAATATCGACTTCCAATGGCGTCATCTGAGACATGGCTTGTGCGGAATGCATAAACTCCTCTTTGGTAACTTCTTGCGATCTGTGTCCATTTGTGGAGTTAAGATATATACGCTTAACTAGTTCCATGTTGTTCAATAATGAATTAAATGCAATAAAGTATGGAAAACTGACTTTGCGAGCACTATGTGAACCTGCAGCGGCCTAAAGAAAAGCTATAAAGTAAAAATTAAAAATCCTCCTTATTTAAACCTACCTCGATTAAATGAGATTGTACTTGCTTGGTAAGCAGATGGCTCTTGATGCTTATCATGATTTGCTGGAAATCCAGAACCGATATAAACCCGCTGCCATCTTTATCCGCTTGCCGAAAACCTTCGATGGCGTACTCCTCGTGAAAATCGTGAAGAAATTGACTGAACTCCGAATATGAAACTAAGCGATTTTTTAGACGTCCAAAATATAATTGAATGAATGGCGAGTTCATATTAAACGGCATGCTGTTGTGCAATTCGGTTTTGTTAATTACCTCAACGAATTCCGCTGTAAAAAAGGATTGTTAAAATATAGATATCCTTTAAAAACTAGTACTAAAAAGTACCGAAAAAATCGGACAACAAATGGAAAAAAAAATGAACCCGGAAAAATTTGGTCAAGGTCGAAAAAAAAAGTGGCATTAAATCTCGAGCAACGTACTCATTTACGCGACGCGACTCGTCGCGACGCCACGTTGCTTGATATTTAATGCCTTCTCTTTTTTCGACCAGGAGACCTAAAATATAGGGTATACGGAGAAAATAAAACAATTACGATTAAGGCGCAGAACAGTACTCAAAATACTATAGAAAATTTATAAAATTAATAATATCAATGTGCAGAATATTACTTACTATAGTTTCTGGCACTATTCATTGATGTGATAAAAATAACCATTGCAATTGTCAAAGTAACCCGTAAGGTTTTATTAGAAATTGTATGAGTTCAAATAGTACATTGACGTACATTGACGTTAGCGTTGACATTGTATATTAAGTGGATTAGTGTTCTGCTCATCAATGGTGACGGTTTTATTTTCTACGTGTTCAAAGTTATCTGCTCAGTGAGCAGTGCTCACCATTGCTAACTTCGTTATTATTGGAGCTACAAAATCGCTTAAATTAGCAAATGGCATTTTCCTTCTAAATAAAATGGTAAAAACAAAAAAACAACTAAACGTCGAGTTTCCGAAATATTCAAAAAATTGTTATTGTTTTAAATGAAATGTAGTTTTTTAAATAAACTGCTCGTCATAAAAATCGACGCACCTAGTTTTTTAGAAAATATTTGAAAGCTCGCTATTCTTTTTAACACCCTGTAGTGTCGTATTCCCAAAATTAAACATAAGTCAAAAAATTAACTATTGCTCATTTTTTGGTCTAAAATGAAGAATAGCGTGAATTTTCGAAAAATTGCCATATAATCGTGGTTAGCCAAGATATCCAGAAAAACTCGAAAACGTCCCGAGGGATTACCTAACTATTATTAGGGAGGGGTATTACGTCTATCAAGCTCAACTGCCCTGTGAATGGGGATTTAAAATTTTGGATACAAAACATCTCTTTTTTTAACACCCTGTAGTATAATGCTATGTGCACAATATTGTATTCCCAAAATTAGACGTAAGTCAAAGAATCCACTATTGTTAATTTTTTGGACTAAACTGGGGAATAACCACAATTTTTGAAAATGGCATATAATCGTAGTAAGCCACGATATTCACAAAATCTCGAAAACGTTCCGAGGGATTGCCTAACTTATAATAGGGAGTGCTATTACGACTATCAAACTCAACTGCCCTATGATTGGGAATAACTTGAAATTTCGGAAAAAATACATCTCTTCGTTTAACACCCTGTAATATAATGCTATGTGCAATATATCGTATTCCCAAAATTAGACATAAGAGTCAAAGAATTAGCCATTCAGAATTTCGAATGATTTTCAAAATCGATTCAATAATTTTCCAATAACGAGCTTTCAAATATTTTTCAAAAAACTAGGTGCGTCATTTTAAAATAAAGTAATTATTTGGTTTTTTTAATTGTTTATTTTTAAGTTTAGGGTAGTTTTCTAAATTAAATTGTCTTTTAAAATATGTAAAAATATACATTTAAAAAAATGATATTTTTGTGAATATTTTGGAAACCCTGTTTTTCTGTTTTCACCAGGAGAAAAAATGCCACCAATTTGCTAACCGACTTTGTTGCTCCAATAACGGAGTTAAAATGGTGAGCAGACACGGCAGTGTCCAAAGTTATCTGTGGTTTTTGATGGTGCTAAATCCATACCGGTGTATAGTAAAAAAGTTATTTTAGTTGTTTATGTTTAAATTAGGAAAATATTAACTAATTTTCGACAATATTTCCAAATTTTAAATCGCAGATTTATATTCATCACCATCAAAAACCCCTCAGTTAGGAAGCATTTCAGGACAAATATTTATTAGGGTGGTCCCTATTTGGGGTAGATATGTTAAATAATTTTTTTACGATAGTACTTTTCGTTTCAAAATAAATAAAACAAAACAAAATATACATAAGCGTAGAAGGACCACACTTCTTTTTTAAATATACGACTTATAACTCGGAACTCGTGGGTGTTCGTGAGGGTCTTCGTAAGCGTTTCGTGTGTGTGTTCGTGGGTGTTTGTGGGTGTGTTCGTGAGTGTTCGTGGGTGTGTTCGTGAGTGTTCCTGGGTGTTCGTGGGTGTGTTCGTGAGTGTTAGCAATCATAAAATATACCCTTGATAGCAGTTTACGTTTGGACGATTACTCTAACCAATGGTTAGTAACCATGTCTATTATAGAAATATGTCAGAATTCCGAGTTATAAGTCGGAATTCCGAGTTATAAGTAAGAATTTTGAGTTATAAGCGAGTATCCCGAGTTATAAGTCGAAATTCCGAGTTATAAGTCGGAATTCCGAGTTAAAAGTCAAATATTTAAAAAAGAAGTGTGGTCCTACGCTTTCGTACATTAATCCCTCAATTAAGATATTTTTTTTGAAATTTGTGAACCATGGACAGCAATTCTTAAAAGTCCCAATCGAAATCGTGCTGGCTCACCGCGGCGTTGCCAACTATCTTTGTTAAAGGCGACGAAAAACAGTTTTTCTCGATTATCTCGTAAACTATTAATTTTACGTAAATTTTGTTTTTCGGGTAAGTCTGCATGTGGTGCTATACAAAATATCTGACACATGAGGTTGTGTTTGGCAATTGCGTTAACGCCGGTACGAGTTGTTTATGACTTTTAAGACATTATTATATTAGTATACCTACTGTATGCTAGGGCCCATATAAACCCTAATTTGACTGAGCTAAATAGCAGAAAAATAAAAATTACTGTCTAAAATTGTATCCAATGCATCCTTTGATACATCATAATTAAGGGGGAATCCATTAATTACGTAAGATAAAATAGAGGGGTCTGCAACATCTCAGGATAAGGAAGGGGGGTTATTTAAAATCTCACGTCAACTTTTGAGTTAAAAGAATTTGTATTTTAATTTAAATTTGTTACTTTTTAGGGGTTTGTCTCACAAAGGGGGAGGGGGGCTCCAAATTATCAGAAAAATACCTCACATAACTAATGGATGTCCCCTAACTACATTGGTGTCTAATTTTTTTCATCAATTATTATTAATTGTAATTGTTATTATAAAAAATTAAAGTTTGATATTAAAAAATATGTACATGTTTTCCAAGGTTAATAGTATTAATATAAAGGTAAAAACTTGGCAGGCATTTTTTAAATGTTGAACCAATTTACGATAGTCCTCAAAAAAATTTAAACATACCTTAAATAAGGAACATCCAAATGTTTAGGTATATGAACTTTTTTTCTTAGAATACCGCAAGGAATTGCGTACGTACCTTAGGTACTTAAAACAGTATGTCCCCGAATTGAGTTACAAAATATTTTTAATTTCTCAGGAAAACATTCTTGTTTTTTTCTGCTTGTTTTCAAATCCCAAAAAAATCAATATACCTAACTGTTTATAAGAATAATAATAAAATAATATTAAATTTTAAAGTAAAATGTCATTTTCTTCAGAACGGTTTAAGGTAATTAAAGGGGTTTTAAAAATGATTAAGAAAAATTATAATAAATAAATTTTTCTGAGAATTTTTTTCCAGGTACAAAAATTACAATTTTGTAAAAATATGTATTTTGAAAACAACCATGGAAATTCACCACTATAACTTTCCACAAAAAATTATTTTTTTTACAACCGCATTTTTTTATATGCGTTAAAAACGTGAAATTCCTTTTGTTTACCGTAACGACATTGTGGCACTAGGGTCTGAATGAACAAAGTTTTCTTTAATATTAAGAGTTGCCTTTAACATGTAAAGTAAAGTAAAGTGACAATATAATATACATATATAGGTGTAGATCTGTGGGTAAAAGGCAGGGGCGTGCTGGGCCGCCGGGACACCGGGCGAATGCCCGGTGGCCTGCGCTACCATGGTGGTCTGCTGGACTTGTTATGGTATGCAAATAGAAAAAAGATTTTTATACCAAACAAAAAGTTTTTTCAAGTTATATTATTAAACACTAAATATAAATTTAAAAAAAATATAGTTTTAATTGACTTCCGTAAAAAAATCTAAAACACGTATTTTTTATGCTAACCCTTAACCAAGAAGTCGCAGGTGGAAACCCTAAACCGTGGGGATATTTTGGATGCTTTCGTAATTATTTTTCCGTTTCTTTGAAAATCCAAACTGATCCGGGGCCACTTCGATAAAATGCAATTTTAGTAAATTTATAAATTATCGGAAGGGGGATCAGCTCGGATTTACAGAGAAACAGAAACATCCCGGACAACATTCGTGATATTCATACGAACATCATATCGTGATTTTCACAAATTTTATTCACACTGATATATCATACGGAAGTCACCGCGTGATAAATGAAAATCATACGAACGTCACGTCGTGATTTTCACAAATTTTATTCATACGGACATCATCCGGATGTCACTGCGTGAAAAATGAAAAACATGTCGTGATTTTTTATGCCATCGCTGTTTGCGATTAACCGATGGCACAAAAAATCATGTCGTGATTTTTTATGCCAACGGTGTTTGAATCATCAGTTTTTGCGGTTAAATACATTCAATATTTTCTTGGATTTAAATTAACTATATATAGTTAATTTAAATCCAAGTTGATTCAATTGTTAACATACTTTTTTTTTTCAATGTACGAATGTGGCGCAAAAATAAATATCCAAACATGTCGGTGCACCGATGGCATAAACAATCCTGTCGTGATTTTTTATGCCCAAACACCGATAGTATAAAAAATCATGTCGTGATTTTTTAGGCCATCGGTCAATCGCAAACAGTGATGGCATAAAAAATCACGACATGATTTTCATATCTCACGCAGTGACATCCGGATGATGTCCGTATGAATAAAATTTGTGAAAATCACGACGTGACGATCGTATGATTTTCATTTATCACGCGGTGACTTCCGTATAATATCAGTATGAATAAAATTTGTGAAAATCACGACATGATGTTCGTATGAATATCAAACATGTTGTCCGGGTTAAGCCGGCAATTAAAAAAGATATTCCAATGTTTAACAAAACGTTTACATTGGTATATCTTTTTTAATTGAACCCGGACAACATTCGTGATATTCAAACAACGTTTTATAAATTATAACGGTGTAATGTGAATAACAAACTAGGTTTTAAATTCGCAGTTCGCAGGGCTCATACGCATGCGCAAATTTTGAAAATATCACACCGTGAGTTCTACATGATATCACTGTGATGAAGCATGTGTATGCACTCAGGATATCACAGCGTGATAAAAAAATCACGTTGTAATATTATCATGACTTCACCAGGAAATCCCGATTGTTGTCCGGGATAATTACAAAAGCATCCAAAAAAGCCCCCTCTTGATTTATTTGATTTATTTGTGATAATACTTTCCTTTAATATTAGTGTGAAGTGACGTAAATTTGCGTAAGCTTTTATGCTGATTGCTGTGGAGAGAAAGGTGCAAAATGGTTTAGATTGTGACTTAATAATTGAACCAGCTGAAAACAGTTCTTTGTTGCGAAAAGAGTTATCACTGGACGTTTTATCAGTCGAGGTATTTAATTGTGATGTATTTTTACAATTAATATGAAATTGGCTTGGGCCTGGACTGCTCTACCATCTAGTCTAGGCCTGAATTGATTCAACCAGCACGCCCCTGGTAAAAGGCATATGGGGATAAGTCAAAAAAAGCAATTTTTCTTTGACCAGAAGCAAGTTTTAACGTCTGTGCGTTTCATGAAACCATCCACCCATAGACACGTGAATTTTCCAATCCACTAAATCTTTTGTACAAATCACAAAATACCTTGCTAAAAGGTCCAAGCCTGCGATATTGTTCAAAAATACAGGTATATTTCTATACCCAGAATCCAATTTTGTCCATCCTGGGTCAAAGTCAGCTATGTTTCATACTTTTTCATCGAGCGATGGCCCAGAGCTGAGAATGCGATGCACTACACATGAAGGACGAAATCAAACTCCAGGGTATACCCTAGTAGAAATTTGTCCAGTTTTCCTCACTATTGGTAGGGCGCTGGCTGGGTTTAGATAGGGAAAAACTATAGTTTTTTTTTCTATAGAAAGGGAAATACTAGATAGGCCCCGACTAGAAACTATCCAGTAAATCTTGCCTAGTTGTGACTCGCCTCCGACTGACTAGTTCACATCTAGTTTTCCTCATTAAATTCCAGTCTAGGCTGACTCAAGTTTTCCTCACCATAAACTTGTAAGGAAATGTAGGGAAAATCTCATTGTTTACAGGTTACTAAGGATTTTGACGTTTTTCTTGATTTTACATTTGTTGACGTTTAAATGCTGTGTTTGTTATATGATTAAAATAATGATAAAAGATCGATGGGTTGGTGTAAACGATAATGAAATTAAGGCAAGTTTAAATAAATATATTTACCGTATACGGTACGGTAAATTATTGCTTTATGTGTAAAGATATTTTATAGTTTAAACCTAACCTTAGTTTTTTTTTTAATTTTACTATTTAAGTATATTTAATTTACAAGGCTTCATTTGGACAAACAATTAAGGAATTATGTTTGTTTTGAAGATACAGGTTGTTTAATTAAATAAACACCTTTAACTTAAGCTAGATTTCATAAAAACTTCTTTTACTTTTGGGCAAAAATTGAAGGGGTTATTTTTTGAGTGAGATTTAAGTTGAGGGGGTATATTTAACAGGCGTCTAGAAATCAATGGTCAAACATAATTTGTTGAAATTTCAAATAACTTTATTTTTTAAAAACCAAAATTGAGAATTGGCTGTTTCTCTCTTATTTTTGAGATACTTGAAGTATTCGTTTGTCTACTTGATTTCTACACGCTGTTAAAAATAACCTCTCTACTTAAAACTCACCAGAGCTGCAACCTCTCAGAAAACTTAAATCGTTTTTTTGATTTAAATCGTTTTAATGACTTAAGTCATTTGGTAATAAGTCATTTCTCTAAAATTGACTTAAGACTTAAAATTTAAGTAATTTTCAAAATGATTTGTGACTTAAATATTTTTTTCAAAATAGAAAAAACTTAAGTCATTTATAACAGGCTTAAATCAGTACATACGATTTAAGTCAGATAGAAACGATTTAAGTCAAAAAAAGATTTAAGTCTTTTTGAAAAAGATTTAAGTCTTTTTAGAAAATATTTAAGTCAGATTTATTTTATATATTTTTTTATAAATTTTTAACAGCGGCATTTTCTTTTGAACTGCCAGGGGTTCACGCGGCAGCAGATCAAAAACTCCTTTAATTTCCTACCTACAATTGCTACCGTTAGTGGATAAAAAAAAACCGCCGCGGTAAAGTTAGCTTTTTGGAACCGTTTGACGGCTACATTAAAAAATGTCCTGTCTAAAATGAATTAAAAAAAGTGGGGATTTATAATTTTGTTATTTTGTTTGCCAAAATTCGTCATGTTCGTGCATAGTTACGTCTAACTTGTGATTATTAGTGCAAAGTGAAAACAATCTGAGCGGTCGTGAATCGAGAGTTTGGAACTTCCCATCATTACTCCCTTAAGGGAGGAATATTTTTATTCTAGATGGATGTTGAACCAGCTAACAAAAGTTAACAAAACAACAAGTTATCAGTTTTTTAAATACAGCGATTTTAAGAAAAATGCTTCAACTTTTATCTATTTTAACATAGAGTTTGAATCTATTACCGTTTAGAAGTTACCCATTTATGTATATAAAAAAGTAGCCTCCCTGTATGTCTACTCTACTAAAAAAGGTGGTTTAAGTTTTTATTTTTATTGTCTACTATATACTCAAAAAATGTGTTTTAAGTTTTTATTTTGTTTGTAAGTGTTCTGAAAATAAATCTTTTAAATTCTTAACATAGTGGTTTATTATTATCTGTATCTACAATAGATTAATAATATCAGTATCATTAATACCATAAAATTATTAACATTTAAAAAATCATTGTATCGTTGACTTAAGGGTAATTATTTTGATTTAAATCACAATTTTTGATTCAAGTCATTTTATTGACTTAACTCTTAGATCACGATTTAAATAAAAAATATAGACTTAAGTCAAAAAAAAGATTTACTAAAGGAATTAAGTCATAAGATGACTTAAATCACTTTATATTGATTTAAGAATTTGCGAAAATGACTTGACTTGAAAGAAAATGATTTAAATCAAAGACTTAATACTTAAATCATTTGAACTTCATCTTAGAATTGACTTAAGATTTAAATCATTTTGATTTTAGAATTGACTTAAGACTTAAGATTTAAGTCTTTTTAAAACTGACTTGTTGCAGCTCTGAAACTCACCCGTTGTATTAATTTATCCATTTATTTGTTAGATTCTTCCAATGGTGCAGAAAAACTTGATAGTGATTCAACGTCAAGTCATGGTGCAACAAACAAATTTGGCTTGTCACAAGAAGTTATACCAAATCAATTTACAACCGACAATAATAATTCCAAAAGTGATCGAACGATAATGTAAATATATAAATCTAATAAAAAAATTTTAGCTTCTGGCATTTATTATTGGTTAAAAAATTCACAAATATTCCGAACCAGTTTTAAGCTAGTTTTCTCTACCAGCTTTTCCCCAGTAGTTCCCCACCAGGAAAAGCATTACATGACTAGTCGGAAACTAGTAGGGATTCCTAGCGAGGCCCTCGTTTCATTTGGGGAAAACTAGCTAGCGCCCTACAGTAACTGATTCCCTATTTAAATTTCTACTAGGGTACCCGCTAGACATAAATGTATTTCCTAAATTAATGCGAACACGTTTAAGGCACTGCTAAAAAAAATGATTTTTTTTTTACTTATATGCCTTTAACCCACAGAGATAGTTAATGATTTAAGATTTTTCCTCAAAATACGCAAAAAGAACATTTTCATGTATGCTCCGTATAGTTTTATGTGGACACCAATCTTTAAACATTCTGATGCCGTATGCATACTGTAATTTTAATTTTTAGAGTAGCAGATTTGCCACTGCAAAATTTGCTACCTTCATAATAGCGATAGGAGTCACAACTTCTATTGAAGAAAAATGCAAGGAGATTTTTTTTTAAGTCAACGAAACAAACTTTTTTACTAACGAATGTCAATTTAATTGTGCAAAAACGTAATGCAACAGAAAAATAAAATAGATTTTTTATTAATCTTATTATTATTTCAATAAACTTGTAAAAAAATGTTGCATGCACCTCATGCGAGAAACTTTTTTGTAGCTTTTGAATTCAGTCATTCTCAATAACCAAAGTTATATTTCGTGCACTACGTACATAAATAACTATTTATAATTTGCGTCAAATTATAAAAAAATGTTAATAATTTAAATGGACTCCCAAACCCAAACTTTGTCTTAGCTAGTATTTATATTGATATAAAAAGATTTTTTATTTTTATAAAGTATTTAATTGTGCCAAAATCTTTAAAATTAATTTTAAATTTAAACTTTGAAAACAAGAATTTTGTACAAAATCAACATACAAACAAATAAATATATGCAATATCTAATTAACTGATAAATCATGTGTACATGCACAAATCTATTATTGACGTATAAATTTATAAAAAGATTTGTAATTAAAATTATCTTTTAATAATAAAATTAAAAATGTAAAAACAAGTCAAGTAGGTACAATACTTACGAAAACTAACCATTCCATTTCCATTGGTATCAAACAATCTGAAAGCTGTCTTGTAAAGGGCATCGGGAAAACAGAGCAGTCCCTCAAAGGCTTGGAACTCCGGATAGGAAATAAGTCCATCTTTGCTTGTGTCAACGATACCAGCCAAAAGTTTAACGGAATCCACATTGTAATTATTCGGATCAAAAAGTCTCAAATACCTAATAACGAAATCCTCAGAGGTCATGAACTTTTCGCCATTTTTCTCGGTGGATGCATATCGAGCAAAGACTTCGCGTAGATGAGATTCGTTTGCTCTTTTCAGGTATCCGCCACCCTATAACAAACAAGGTTAATTACAATTTTATCCTTGAAATGATCTTCAAGTCAAATTGAAGAAAAGGGATAGTACCTTTGTAACTGACCTCAACAAAAACGACGTTGTTAGCCACTGACATTATTACGATTTTTTTAACAAAAATAATTCTCTCGAATAGAGCAGAAAGTGCTTAAAATAAAAAATACCTCGACTGGTCGACATTGCGTCAGCACGTGTTAAAAATAGTTGTAAAATATTAATACAACGTTAAAGCGCGTCTGAACATATCCAATAGGTTGTTCGATAGGTAATTCGCAGACTTAATTGTAATTGCTGTGCTTAAGTAAACAAATAATATAAAATTGTAAAAGGACATGGGTGCAAAGTAAAATTTTGGTTTGGAAATAAAGTGATGTGTCAAATAAGACAAATATTTATAGATGTTCTCAATTTTGGCATAAATATAACCTAAACGGTTGGATTGAAATATAGGTAAGTCAAGTAAATAAACAACCAATCGCATCTAGACCACAATGGATTGTGATCTAAAATTAATATATATATATATATATATATAATTATAGTGTTTAAATCGCCCCTTATTTGTACAACAAGATTCGATTTCTAACGGATGTTCAATGAACATTGTTCATAGTCTTAGTATACGACATAAAAATACGATAACACCTCCTCAGCATTCTACTGCTATGTTTGAAAGATCGTTTTCCTATACAATTTTTAAGTTATATATAACATGTTTCCCGCAAATAATAAAACCAAATCAATTACTCTATTTAGGGCAGAAATTCGTTCACTTATTTTTACGACATTTATTATAAGATCCTTATATTTTGTTTTATTTATTTTTTGTTTTTTTTTTCTTAATTAAGATTTTTTATGTACTGGTTTATAAATTAGCCAAACTGTCAGCTATTTTAATTGAAAATGTATTTTCAACTAAATTAGCGGCTAGTTTACAAAAAAACCAAGGATCTTGGCTAATTTACTTGAAATTATTAGGGAAACTAAAATAGCTGGATAGTTCGTATACTATCCAATTCAATTTGGCTAATATGAAAACCAAAATTTCTAGTAACACAAAATAGCCAAGCTTTAGCTAGTTTGTAAACTAACCAACTAATTCTCTGGCTATTGCCCATTTTAGTTGGGTTTTTTTCTCTCATTTTTGACCATTTGACCAATGGGGCGGGGGTGGCCAATGGGGTCGGTAGGGTTGTGTTGTTGAGTTTTCTAACAAGGAAGCGTTAAAATTTTGCCTATGATTCATTTTAAAAACGTTAAAATGCACAAAACAAATCCGGTTAAACCGGCAAAACGAAAAACAATGCTGTAACCTCACTTTTTTAATAAATTAGCCAGAGAATTGGTTGGTTAGTTTACAAACTAGCTAAAGCTTGGCTATTTTGTGTTACTAGAAATTTTGGTTTTCATATTAGCCAAACTAAATTGGATAGTATACAAACTATCCAGCTATTTTAGTTTCCGTAATAATTTCAAGTAAATTAGCCAAGATCCTTGGTTATTTTGTAAAATAGCCGCCAATTTAGTTGAAAATATGTTTTCAATTAAAATAGCTGACAGTTTGGCTAGTTTATAAACTATCCAGCTAGTTTATAAACTATCCAAGTTTGCACATTAGCCATAACATATAATATATATCATATATATTAGGGTGGTTCTTATTTGACCGATGTCGAAATTTTAATAGTGCCGCCCCCTCATTTGTTTTTAAAAAAATATAAAAAAAATGTATGCCAAATTTGAATGTCCTAACTTATTTCCTTTTATTGCCTGTAACAACGAGAAATTTTCCAGATAGAGGATTTTACCTTTAATGTATTAATTTTTTAAAATTACTATTAATCTATGAAAAAGTATAATTTTTTGAGAAAATGTAGAGGACTTAAGTTACTTTTAAACAAAAAAAAAAGAAATTTTCATCCTAAGGTCTTTTTTACTTCGCTCGATTATTACTTACAGTTTTTCAAATACGGGATTTTTGCTTTAAAACGTATGTATGTATGTCCATCGTAAGGTCTTTTTTACTTCGCTCAATTATTACTATTATTGTTATTTTATTGAAAATGGCATAAAAAACAAAATATCAGTGATAATTTGCATTTAATGCATAATTAGTGTGCTTTGAAACGTAATTTTGTACTTTTTTAATGTTGGTGCTACGTAAATATCTTTTAGGCAATCTTAAATTATTTGTTTTATAAAACAAATAATTTAAGATAATTTAAGATTACCTAATAATTATTTAGGGAGCACCAACTTTAGAAAAGTACAAAATTAAAATTATGTAAATAATAGTGGGTTCTTAGCTTATAAGTTATAACTCCATCATAACACCCAATGAAGACCAGAAACAATTTGTTAATGACAGTTGTAAACAATTTTTAAAATACCGAAAACCTAATTATCTGGGTTTTATTTTGTTAATTTTTTTGCCATTTTAATTTAATTGTAATGTAATGTAATGTAATGTTCTTTTCTAATGTTGGTGCTTCCTAAATAGTATATAAAACAAATAATTTAAGATTGCCTAAAAGATATTTAGATAGCACAACATTAGAAAAATACAAAATTACGTTTCAAAACACACTAATTATGCATTAAATGCAAATTATCACTGATATTTTGTTTTTTATGCCATTTTCAATAAAATAACAATAAGTGTGATAATTGAATGAAGTAAAAAAGACCTTACTATGGACATACATGAATTCTTTTTTGTTTGTTTAAAACTACCATATTTTCCCTTCATTTTCTCAAAAAATTAGAATTGTTCATTAATTATTAATGATTTTATAAAATTATTGCGTTTTAAAGCAAAAATCCCCTGTATGAAAAACTGTGAGTAATAATCGAGCGGAGTAAAAAATACCTTAGGATACAAATACATGATTTCTTTTTTTTTTAAGTAACTTATATCCTCTGCATTTTTTCAAAAAATTATCCTTTTTTATAGATTAATACGCGGGTTGCCTTTTATATTTCGGGAATGGCCGAACCTGCCGATGCTATCGTACAACAGATGTCTGTATTGTTAAGTTTGACCTTTTAGACGGTGTTCTTACTTAAAACGTTTTGACGTGCGGGCGCAATTAGTATAATTAACAGTCACTTGAAAAATTAATGTCGGCCAAAAAAATGGAATTGACCCGTGAACATTTTCGTGCTATAATTTTTACAACTTTAAACGTGGATTATCCCAACAATAATGCATCGATGAACTTAATTTGACTTTTGGCGACAAAGTGCCATAAAAAACAAGTGAATATCGGTGGTGTTCCAAATTCAATCGTAGCCGTGGTTCGCTCACCGACGAATTTCGTGAAGGTCGTCCAAAATCAGTCGTTCTCGCAAAAAACATTGATGCTGTGCGTGAACTGGTACTGCAAGATCGTCATGTGACATATCGTGAGATTGGGTCATCCTTGGGCATTAGTGGGACCAGCATATATACATTCAATATTAAATGAACATTTGGCCGTCAGAAAAAATTGTTACCGTTGGATCCCACATAATTTGACAATCGATCAAAAAAAGGCTCGTGTCTAGTGGTCAAAAGAAATGCTTAAAAAATAAGATGGCGGTGCTGCAAAACATGTTCATCAGGGATCTATGCGTATCAGTGGGGCCCCGTATCAAATATCTGGTAGGGGCCCTTATAAGGGAAAAGCTGCTGGCAAAAAAATGTCTGGGTGTTACGCCTGAAGTCTATTTTGGGCAAACTAAAAAAATGTTTTAGGGTATTATTTTTTTGCATTTAACAATTTTTTATAATTTAATAAATAATATACATAGTAAGGTGCATCATTTTAGAGCGACATTAGTCCCACCTGAAAATCTTGTAACCGGTCAGAAAACAAAAATTTTGAGCTATTAGAAAGCTCTTAATCTTTATTTTAAGCCGTTGATATTCAATTTTAAAATATTTTTCTTTAAAAACCATTAAAAAACAATGTTTTATTATTTTCTCCTTCCGCTCGTGCGGTAAGAATATTTTTTTCGAATTTCGGTTCTAAAATCTTTATATAGGATGAAATTTTCAAATTGCCGTTCTACTCGAAAATCTTCTAAAATAGCAGTAAATCGTATTTGGTGACCAATGTATTGATTGTAGACAAAAAATGTAAATGACAATTTTGTAGGGAATTTTATGCCCTACAAATTTGTTAAGAAATATTTTTCTGTATCACTTATAGTTTAGCTTGTACAGATACTCTTTCACGTAACTCTAATAGTATAGTTACAGTCAGAAACTGAATTTTTAGGAATTTTACATTTTGAGTGGCTGTACAGGCTAAACTATAAGTGATAAAGAAAAATTTTCCTATAATATTGTCATTTACTTTTTTGATCTAAAATCAATAGTTTAGTCTCTAAATACGATTTACTACTATTTTAGAAGATTTTCGAGTAGAACGGCAATTTTTGAAGAACATATTCAACTTACAGACTTGCTTAAATAGACATTTTTGAAGATAATTTCATTCTGTATAAAGGTTTTAGAACCGAAATTCGAAAAAAATATTCTTACTGTACGAGCGACAAAAGAATAAAACATTGTTTTTTAATGTTTTTTAAAGGAAAATTATTAAAAATTGAATAGCAACGGCTTTAAATAAAGATTAAGAGCTTTGTAATAGCTCAAAATGTTTGTTTTCTGACCGGTTACAAGATTTTTAGGTGGGACTGTCGCTCTAAAATTAAGCACCCTAATACATAGCTTTTTATGTATAGACAAATTTTAAAATTTGGTCTGATTTTAGACATTTACCGTTCTTCAGCATCTTTTAAAAGGATTCTATTTTAAAATAAAGGCAAGTCATTTGAAATAATTGTAACGCTAATAATTATTTCTAATTTTCCATTAATATAACCTATGATAATAACACGCAAAGCAGACTCAGTATGTCGCGGCGCAGAGCACAGAACAATATGCGCAGACTGCGCCGCATAGCGGAAAGGTGCGGACAGAAACAATTCTTATGAGTTTACGGCTTTGTTGGAACAGGAGGGTATTCAGGAAAATTTTAATGGAATAAATCGAAGTATAAACAATTAAATAATATTATTGTTTTATTAATTTATTTAATTTCATGCCTCAATTTTTTTAACATGTGGGTAATGTGTTTTTTTGCTTACACATGTCGAAGCCAATCGGGAGCCCCCCCTAGCCGGGGGCCCCGTATCACTGATACGGCTGATACCGCGGTAGCTACGCCCCTGATGCGTATGAACCTGAAAGTAAACAGCAGTCGACTGTGTGGGTCTTTAGAAGCGGTTGATGCGTTCAAAATGCATGTTTTGGAGGTGCCTCAATCGGAGTGAAAAAAATGCTTGAAAAATTGGTCCAAGTGCATGCAAAAGTGTGTCGATCTTCATGGAGAATATTTTGAAAAACAATAAAGCCATGTACGATGATTAATTGTTGTTTGTTTTCTCTATTCCCGAAATATAAAAGGCAACCCTCGTAGTAATTTTAAAAAATTAATACATTAAAGGCAAAAATCCTCTATCTGGAAAACTTCTCGTTATTACAGGCAATAGAAGGAAATAAGTTAGGGCATTCAAATTTGGCATACATTTTTTTTAAATTTTAATTAGATTAGTTTTTAGAGTGTTTTTTTGCGTTGTTAATTAAGTTTTTGCTTTAAAATATTTTCGTGTATGTTTATTTCATATTTTAATATACTAATTAATATTTTGATATTTTTACATTATTTTTCTTTCTATTTTTGTCTATAAATTAATTTTGTTCAATGTTATTTTTGTTCCTGTTTTTTATTAGTTGTAGTTCATGTTGTAAATAAAATAATTTTAATTTTAATGCTATTATTATTTTTATTTTTTTAAACATCTCTCGTATAAGAATATATATAGTATACTATTATCCGCAGCAGTTTATAACTATCATCAATAAATAATAGTATATTATGTATCAAGTTTGATAAACGCCATTTTATACAAGAATTTAATTTAGTGAGGTGCATACTATACTTTTTCTACGACAAATACTTATTATTATCTTAAAATGATTTAAATCAAAAATTTGTATAGAGCGCCATCTATGAAACAATAGGGGAATCTGTGTGTCACCGTCAATTGTCAAATTTTTGTATTTTATAAACACAATTATAAAGGTTATAAATCGAAATGTATTTCTTGAAAATTTACAGTTTTAGTAGGTGTGCAATGGTGTATTAATAATTATTATTTTATTTAACAATTTTCTTTGTCTGGCGGCTCCTATATATATATATGATTGGGGCCTCCGGGCACCGCATCGAACCTGGTCATATGTCCGCCCGTGATATTAGAATAAACGTGATTATTTTTTAATATTTATTTTGCCTTTGAGCCTTTTTACCTCTTTCATGCCTATTTTGACCTTTTGGTTGCCTTTTTAGTAGGAGTCAGTCTCTAATAATGATAAATAAAAATGTTTATGTTAAGTCTGGTGATCTTGGAAGTCATACAAAAAATAAAGTTAATTGATATAAAATAATTATGTTATTAAATTATTAACTAACAAATTGTCAGAAAAAAAAATTATAGATGTTAAGTCCGGCGATCTTGGAGGTCATTAACAAAATACATAAATAAAACACAGGGAAAGTCTGATTTTTTTTTTCTTATTACCAAAAAAATATTTTAATATTCTGTGAATTTTTTTAAAAACTTTAAGAGTATGACGATAATATCATTTACTAAACTCAACGGTAATATATTTATAAATCATAATAATTATAATTGCATGACATGTTTTAAACGAGATAAGTCTTATGATTTTAAAACGAAATTTCAACAAATAATTACTCAATGGGATTGAACATACGTCATAATAATCGAATTAACAAATTAAAATTTGTTATATAATAAAAAATGCAGTTTACTAAATATTGTAATATATAGGTACCTTCAAGAAGGTGTATAAATATCTACATATACATATATATATTAAAATTAATAATTTGTTCTACCTGGATCTTTCAAAAAATGTGTATTCTTTTAACGTGGCCGTATTAAATTAAGTAAAATTATAATTAAGGGTGATATTACCCGGGAATTTAACTAATATATATCAAAAAACTTACCCACCTCTTGACAATTAGCTTTTCTGAATATATTTAATTTGTCCATAGTTTAAACATGAACTTAAACTCACTGTTAAAAATTATAACTTAACTTAATTGTTTTTAAAACTTAGGTTACAAAAATATTGTGCAAGAAAATGAGTAAATAGTTTTATCTACTGGTCACCCCAGTACTACATATGAGTTCTAGATAGCCTGATATGGGCTCTGTCTTTTGATATACTATCAGCAAGGTCAAAAAACTGTCAGTTTCAGTTGACAGTTTTTACTTGTGGCACCTCCTTTTTATGGCATAGACATCTACGGAGATCCGCGTACACGTGGCGAAATCTAGTGTAGCTTCCTACGCCAATAGATTTTAATTCCAGTAAACTGTAATCCTCTGTAATTCTACAGTTTACTTTATTTTTCGTTTGCGACGATGCCAGACTTAGTAAATTTTTCGGCAATTTGGGAATTCTCGTTTATTGACTTTTGTGTACCTATTGCTCTTTTGGCTTTTTGGAAACAAGGTTCTATACGGAAGCATAGAAATTTAGGTTTAATTAATCGAATCAAATCCGACATTTTTTATTAGAATTAATTAATATTTGAAATAAATTTTTTGGTCCCTAGGACGATTTAATCATTTGACGTCACAAAATAATAGTATTTTATACCTCTAAAGGACATAGGTATTTAACCCCATTTTGGGGAATTTCTTAATTCGAATTGCTCCATCACGTCAGGTTGTAAAGAAATTCTAAACCAAACGTAGAAAAAAGGCGTTTTTTAACATACCAAATATTGTTTTCCCAAAAAACTCTAGTACTTTTAGATGGAATAACGATCGTTATTTCATCTAATTTGGAGTACCTTTAAGGTACTCTTCCTCTTTAAAATCCTTTTTCAATATTTGCAATATCTTTTCCCCTCTTTGAGGATGATCAAAATTAATCAAATTTTTACCTAAATAATACTCAATCAATTTCAAGAAGAGAAAAAAAATTCAAAAGAATATTCTTAATATTAAGGAGAAGAGTTTTACTTTCAGATGGCTTTTGTTAAGAAAAAATATGGTATGTTGTAATGGGTATAAAATATTGAAAAAAAGTTTCTCGAAAACCTGCATCATCCCTGATGGCAAAATTTGATTTTAAGAATCTTTTAAGAAGATATTACCCGGAATAATGGAATATTCTTAGAATCTTCCCTTATTGCTAAGAATGTTCTTAGGGACTTTTAAAAAATTCAATAGATACCCTTTTAATGAACCAATTAGATTCTTAAAAGCTTCTTAAAACCTTCCTAAGCATCCTAAGAACATTTTAAGAATACGTTTTTGGAATGTTCTTAGAAGGTTTCTTATGGAGCTTCTAGGAAGCTTTTGAGAATATTTCCAAATATGTCAGATACCCACGTTCTAATATGTTGTATTCTAAGTCATAAAATGACAGTGAAATGTATTTGCCGTCCCCTTACATAAACAATTTGACCTCTAAACCATAAGTTGTATGACGTTATTTCATAAAAAGTAAAATTGGAAAATTTTGTTGGATAAGTCAGATTAGATTGAAGTTGAAGATAGTTAGGATTATTATACATAAAAATGTTAATTCAGAAATAAAAAATCGGTATACAAATTAATAAATATTTATTTTTAACATAAAATAAAATTCCTATAGTAAAAGTATTTTTGATATCTAATATTGTTTTAATTTGATAATTAACTATAAAAAAATATTTTGGATTGTGTTTTTTACTTAGTATTTAAGGTATATACCTTTATACGTGGTATAATTTACTATTATATAGGTAACTGAACTAAATATGCTTAACAGGAATATTCCTAAATGAACTTTATACAGCAATTACTTACTTTCTTAACATTCTAAGCATGAACTTTATACATTTAGCAATTACTTTCTTAACATTCTAAGCATAGGTATGTTTAGAGTAGACTAATTTTTACCACTAAAACTTTGCACCTTCTAAGAACCTGCCTATAGGTCAGTAAGAATATTCTTAGGATCATGCTATGTGTCTTTTAAGAATATGCTTAAAAGACATATAGGTAGCATGATCCTAAGAATATTCTTACTAAAGAACATATGTTCTTTAGAAGAAATAGAGCATGATCCTAAGAATATTCTCACTGGAAGGTTTAAAAAACATTCTCTGAATAAAGTGTGCTATCAGGGATGTAGGATGCATGACCTGCATGATGTGATGGAGCAATTCTGAGGTGAAATTTGATTCGTCAAAAACCTTCGGAAAAATATAATAGTCTGTTTTCTGTTTAAAAATGTTGTAGACCAATGTAATTTTTAATCTAGACTGCTATATGATTTAAAAAATGAATTACTAACAAATTGAAATATAATTTTTCTATAAAACACTTTAGTCTTACAATTACAATTACCTACCTGCAATTTCACTTACAATAATTATTTAAAACAAAAACTATTATTACATTCTTTGCTTAATAATGTTGTACCTATATGGGATGAAAGAGGACAAAAAAACCTGAAAATTGCGTTTACATCTGTTTGTGTAGCTGTTCGGGTTTTCAAAAAATTGAAATTTATAGTTTTAATTTTCTAACGTATACTTAGGTAGCTACGTCATAAAACTAAAATTTTAATTTTTATGCGTAGGTAGTTTTAAAAAAAATAAGGGGGACATTTTTTCATTTTCCATTTATCGGACACACTGTATAAGGCCATTTAAGCAAAGGTACTTCTCAAATTTCTGAACAAATTTCACGTTCGTCGACGTAGATACTAATTATTATAATAATAATAATGCTTTATTGAACTAAAACCAAGTTCAAAGGCTCTTGACCGTAGTCCTTCAGCCGTAATTATTATATATTATTAATTTATATTAAATATCAGAGTGAAACATTTTGAAAAGTCATTTATTTTATGTGTAACTGCAAAACATTGAATTATAATGAAAAAAAAATGGCCATATTTTATTCAAGACACGACAGAATTCTAAAATTGTAAACGTATATGTTGTGGGGTGAATTATTAAATTAATACAAAAAAAATAGTTTTTAGTAGTTTTTAAGTACCTACCTATTAAAAAATATTTTTCCCCTAAATTAATTTTTTAAAATTTTTATTTATTTAAGTCCTTGGAAAGTTGTTTAATCCTGATTTAACACAATTTTCCAATGAGGTTTTAAAAATAAAAAGTTAAAATTTGTTAATAATTAAAAAGTAGGTACCTACTTAACTTAAATTTCAATATTTTTTAAATGTTGGTATAGCAATCCTTAAAACTATTGGAAAAAAAATATTTTTTTGTATTTTTTTAATAATTTTCCCTACAACATATGTTTACAGTTTGTCTGCTACATGTAGCATGTCGGGTTTTCGAGTAAATTTTAAAATTCTGTACCTTAGGTACAGTTGTATTCATTAAAAAAGCGTACAAGAATTAGAATAAAAGAAAACTGTCACCATAATATTATTGCTTAAAACCGGCTTATCACTAACATAAGTCATTTAAATATGTGTTAAAAAAAATACAAATATAAGAAACATATATTTTCAATTTACTAAATTAAAAATATCAGTTAGGCATAAAAATTAAATCTAATTTTTGAATATTTGCTATGATATTTTTAATTCACAGATTAAACGTGTTCTTGTGATATTTTTTATTTACTTATACATATATTTTAAAAATTAGATCTAATTTTTATGCCAAACTGATATTTTTGATGTATTTAATTTAAAATATTTACTTCTTTTAATTATTTTTTTTATATACACACATTTTTAATTCGCCTAATTAAAAATTAGATTTAATTTTCATGCTAAACAGATATTTTTAATTAAGTGTATTTTTTTAAACAAATAGATATTTTTAATTTGCTAAAGTAAAAATATCATAGGGGACATTTTTAAATGAACTAATAATATCATAGAAGAGATTTTTAATTCGATTTAATTTTTATTTCATTAAATAGGCAGATTAATAATATCATAGCAGATATTTTAAAATGCTATTTGATTTGTATGCCAAACTGAAATTTTTTATTTAGTAAATTTAAAATATTTGTATCTTATATTTGTATTTTTTTGCTAACTAAATATTATTAATTCGCAAAATTAAAAATATCATAGGAGAACTTTTTAAATGTATTAAAATATCAGGAGATATTTTTAATTCGATTTAATTTTTATTTTTTTAAATAAGCAGATATTTTTAATTGAATGTAATGTTTTTAATTCCGACTGATTGAGAGTTTGGATACCACTGTAAACTGAATTAAAAATGTCTACTATGATATTTTTAATGCATTTAAAAATTTCTCCTATGATATTTTTAATTTAGCGAATTAAAAATATTAGTTTGGCACAAAAATTTAATTTAATTTTTAAATATCTACCATTGAGTAACCCAACATCTTACTCAATGTATCTACTATGATATTTTTAATTCACGGAATAAAAATTATTATGTAATATGTTTTATCTAATTAAAAATATCACTATATTGTTAACACATAAGAATATTCTTACTTTGACTGATTTTTTTTGTTTATTTTTATTATCAATAAACAGATGTCAAATGTTTAACAAATAAAATTGGCATTAAATTCTTCTTTGTGTTCGTCGTAGATAAAGTATAGTATACAACTCGTTTTATAAAATTCTCTAGACACTCGTTTTTATTAAACACTCGCTTGCAAGATTCGCTCGTGCCTCATAAAACTCGTAACTAAAATGGCATTTATAAAACTTGATACATAATTATATTATAATATACTATTATAAAGTATTTTTTACATATGTAGGCTTATGAGTGTTGTAATATGAAAATGATTATAGGCTTGAAAAAATAGCTATTTACATACCATGGGAGGAAAATATTGCATTTCCTCCCGGGAATAGTTTGATGCCCGACGCGAAGCGAAGGGCATTAAATATTCAAGGGAGGAAATGCATTTTCCTCCTGAGGTATGTATATAGTTTTTTCTATTACCTTTTAACGGTTTTAAGAGATTTTAAGCGTTCCGGTTTTTTTTTACTAACCATAATATTATGACAAAATATTAAGTAGGTGTTGCGTCGCCGACGTTACATTGACAACGCTTTGTTGCTATGGCATTTTTCGTAATACAAACATAACAGTTGTTAAAAGATTGTTTATCATAAATTTGAAATTCGTTTACGTCTTGAAAAAATGAGTTCTAGCGAAGAACTGCCGCAAGATCTTGCTGAAGAGGCAAGAATAGTTTCAATAAACCTCCTGCCTCAAAAATCCAAAGAGCGTTATGA